TGTGTGTGTGTGTGTGTGTGTGTGTGTAATAAATTGAATCATTACGTCTTCGCAGTATAAAAATTAATATTGTAATTTAAAAGTGTGTGTGTGTATATATATATATGTATATGTATACCTTTACAATTGTATTGTAATTACCGACGTCATTATAATTATACATGTATATTAAAAAACCGGACATATATAGCATTATATTTCATTATTTATATATATAAAAACGCAATATATTAAATTAATCTTTTCGATGTTTATGTCGCGTATACTCTTCATAAAACGAAGGCTTTTTCTTGTTTGAGAACAAGTATCTTTGTCATATAGTAAAAACAATTTACATTTGCAGTTAAAGTAACATTTAAGTAAAACAAAAAATATATTTGTTATGGTAACACGGTTTAGAATTCTTTAGAAGAAACAAAAGACAACATAAAATATTTTATTTTGTACTTTTTTTAACGCATTAATCAAATTGGTATCAATTGTAATTATATATAATGTGTTATGAAATAATACGATAAAATAATACAATTTTATAATAAATATGTGTAATAAACATATAATATAAAAAGACATTTTAAAAAATTTGTTAGTTTTATTATAATTTATTTCGATTTTACAACAAATGCACTTACTTTGTTTTAGCCGAGTATTCTCGTTGCAGCTGAAAAATTAATTTAATCACACAAGTGTATGTTCTCCGAATGAAATAAAACAAGGGTTAAAGAGTTAAATATATTTAATATATTTATTATATTTATTATATTTCTTTATATAATTGCATACAGATATATATGAGTCCTCTGTCCGTAAATGTTCCTTCGTCTGAATACGTTGATGGTCCTGAAAAGGACCGTTTTACTAATGGTCTTAATAACCAGTCCTCAATCCCTGTCGTACAATAACTAACTCTAAACGACGTAAAAGAGAAGCACTTAGGTTTGTGAAAAGTTCTGGCTTATTCCTCAACTTTTCCCACTCTTTCCTTGCGTGCGCAACCAGAGCTTCTTGTGTTCTCTCATGACCAGGAATCTACGATTTCACAATTACTCCCCAGATATTTTCTATCAAATTGAGATCCGGGGATTTCGCTGGCCAATCAATCACTTCGATTTTCGAATGGTGAGCGGACCATTCTTGAACTACATGAGATGTATGGACCGCAGAATTGTCCTGAATTAATCGAAATGTCGGCCAAGCATCTTTAGAGTATATTCTGCGAACGCTGGGAAGTAAAACGTTCTCCAGAATATCCACATAATCGACGGCGTCCATATGCGGCGATGTTTCAATTAATTCTCCTGGACAATATGCGCTAATTTACCCCCACATACCACAAGTGATACGGCCCACTTTGCTCGCAAGGAAGCACATAGTGCGGATCGAATTGACGATTTGGTGGCCTCTAGACACGTAGAGATCGATCATCTGCAGAACAAAACACCTTTTCATCCATCCAGATAGTACGGTCCCAATCATCAGGTGTAGCAGTCTGTAGTTGATGCATTGCGAAAGCAACGCGATTGTCTATGTGCCTGTTGTTTAAGGCAATTTTGCGTGCAGCACGATACAAATGAATATTTGCCTCGTGCAAACGTCTTCGTGCTGTATTTGCAGATATCTGCAAACCCAACTGATTTACAGAATGCATCACCGGACGAAAAGGATCTATATCTACCTGGCGAATTAAGGCCATATTTTCATCTGCGGTTGTTGATCGCTGTTTCCTATTGTGTTTTTGTTTGTCTATGAGACCAGCTTCTCCTTTGACTCGGTATCGAGAAATCCACTTTCGCACACATTGGAGTGCACGGGATGCGCTGTGCTATGTTTTCTGAAGAAAGGCCAGCTTTCCACATTCCAATAATGCGATCACGATTTACTTCGCTAAGAGCCATATTGCACGACACAAGAAGAAATAATATATAATTTGTTTTACTCATTACACGCCACGATTTGAAAAACATCGGAAAACCAATTGCCAATTTGATGGTCCTCGGCTATCGCCGTAGCAAAATCGGATTAATTCGGTCGCGATCTGATTCATCAAGTTATGGCGCGTAATAGACATTTTAAATTGCACCGCGATAATTCGACATTGTAAAAGCTTAATACTGCAATGCGCTTTGCGTTTTGTGTTTTGTGCTTATTGAGCACTGAGTTATTACCAATTTTATCACAGTGCTATTTTCAAAATATTTATTAAACGCTCAATGTGTCAAACGCGATAAATAAGATCGCGACCAAATTAACTTGATTTCGATACTACGGTGCCAAGAACTATTAAATCGGCAATAGTTTTTCGATGTTTTTTTAATCGCGGCGTGCATTTTATGTTGTGCAATATGGCTTTTCACAAACATAAGTGCTTCTATTTTACGTCGATTAGAGTTAGTTATTGCACGACAGGGATTGTAGACTGGTTATTGAGACCATTATATAGTAAAACGGTCCTTTTCAGGACCATCAATGTATTCAGACAAAGGAACACTTACGGACAGAGGACTCATATATATCTCTATGCAATCATATAGAGAAATATAATAAATATAATAAATATAAGAAATATATTTAACTCTTTACCCCTTGTTTTATTTCATTCGGAGAACATACACTTGTGTGCTTAAATTAATTTTTCAGCTGCAACGAATATACTCGGCTGAAACAGAGTAAGTGTATTTGTTGTAAAATCGAAATAAATTATAATGAAACTAACAAATTATTTCCCCCCAAACGGGTTCCCACCTTGTAGTAGCTCCGAAACGGGAGCTCGCGGCTCGCGGAGCGCTTGGTGCGCACGTGGTCTGGCCGCCTCGCAGTAACTACACGGAACGTTATTTGGTTTCCAGCATGTGCTGGTGGCGGCGTGGTTGATCGTCAGCTCCTCTCTGGACGCTGGCGGATCTGCCTGGTCGTGCCGTCACAATGGAAGTGTAATCTGACGGGAGAACAAATGACCACAAAAAGTGAGCATCTGGTGTCCTCGGGGGCTGTAGGCTTTCGCGCCGGAGCGGGTGGTGGGGCTTAAAGTCGCGGGCGATGGTCATCCGCTCAGGGATGGGTCCGTCTGTGACCAACTAAGAGGAACCCCCCAAGTTAAGGTGTGAGCGACCGTGCCGAAAGCTGCGTGGCGCAAGAGGAGTTGCGTAGTGAACGGTGCCCCCTAAATACCGGGCAAAATCCAGGAGTACGGAGCCAAGCCCCAGCCATTCGCGGCTCTGGCTGGGTGAGACTGCGATACTTGTGGGGACAAAATGGAGTTCAAAAAAGAAAATACAATCACTCCCAAATCAGTCCCCAAGAGCGAAGCCTCCTTTAGAGGTGAACGCCCAGGAGAACCTTGTAGTGCGGGAGCGGGCTCAGAAGCCCCAAAATACCGCATAAGATATAGCGGGGCCGCTAAGCGCCGTTATAATAAACAGATGCTAGAGAGAGTGAACCCGGGAAGAGTGGGGCTAATAAGGCCTCCTCTACCCCCGGAGCCTTTTGTTCAAAAAGTGGAGCTGAGGGGTGGACGGGCTTTGGGTGGCGCAACAAAGCGCGCCAGGTCGGAACACAGCTACTCCCAGCCCCTTAAAAAATCGCCACGGTAAGAGACCCAAAAATGAGTAGTCGTATGCACAGGCGACAATAGAACTGGTTAGGATGGCCCTCGTACTGGAGGGCTACCCTGACAAAAAGATAGGAACCGATGAGGTGGTTGAGATCAGGAAACTGATCAGGATTTTCTCATTTTCGACATGTCCGAAGATGTCAAAGCCCCTACCTTCACCGGTTCCTAGGAAAGGGATGGCGCACTCATTGTCGTATGCGCCAATAAAGAGTCGGCGGAGTAGCTTAAGATCCACTCCCCCGAGGCAAAAGTCAGGGGAATTCCTCTGCGTATTCTGCCGGTCGGTGAGCTACCCAGGCGACACCGGGTGGTGGTGCATGTGGAGGAACCTGACATAGATGTTGAGGAGGCTCTAAAGTTCCTCAATCAACAAAACACAGGGCTGGCAACCAGTGAATGGGTCGTCAATAGGGGGACGTACAGTAGGGACGCCTTGAGCGCCCACTTCTCCTGCCAGTTGGCGACTCGGCACTAGAAGCCTTGAAGCACTGTGGCTTCAGGCCTTTTCTCGGTCTCGGCCGAGCCACCGGTAAGGTGGCGGGACGGAAGCGCGGAGAGGCGACTGAGAAGAAGAAGGCGTCGGAGGATGTCGAGAATGCCTAAAAATGGCTCCTCCCGGCATCCAAATGACCCAAATTAATTTGCACCACAGCAAAAGCGCCTTAACCAAGAGCATGGCTGTGATGCATACAAATATTGCACTAATCCAAGAACCTTGGATTGTTAACGGTGCAATAAAAGGTCTGAGTGGGTGTGGCTGTTTATACAAAACACACTCGGAAAAAAGAGTAAGATCTTGCTTAGTAGTTAAAGGACTACATGCTATCTTTCTGCCACAGCTCAGCAGCTAGGACCTCACAGTCATCAAGGTGAGAGTAAAGCTGGCCGAGAAAGAGGACATGAAGGTACTCATAGAGTCAGTCTATATGCCCTACGCCTCCATGATTGATCCACCACCAAAAGAGGTAAAAGCCCTGGTAGCCTATGCGGAGGCCGGGGGACTTGAACTCTTGCTAAGTTGTGATGCAAACTCCCATCATGTAGGATGGGGAAATGCAAACATCAACCCGCGGGGGGAGAGTCTGCATGGCTTCTTAGAGGGCTAACCATTCTTAACAGAGGAAACGAGCCGACATTCCTGGACTCCAGAAGACAGGAAGTCATTGACGGTTTGTACGGGAGAGTGGCGGGTCTGGTGAACGACTGGAGGGTCTTGGATGAGCTCTCTGGCTCTGATCATAGACAAATACGCCTAACTCTTCAGCAACTACCGCAAATCAGCTGAATTCGTAACCCACGAAAAACCAACTAGGAGGGCTTTAGGGCTGATCTTAAGGCGCAGCTCGTTGAGGCCCCAACCAGTTTCAGGACCAAAAATAATTTGGAAAATGCGGCGGACTTCTTAAAGAACGCCATTGCAAATGCCTACAAGTTAAACTGCCCACCAAAACCAAAGAGCTCGGTGACTAAGATCCACTGGTGGAAGAAAGAGCTTGAAAAGCTCAGGTTGGAAACGAGGAGGAAATTCAGTAAGGCAAAAAGAACCAGACTTGCAGCACACTGGGAGACTTTCAGAAGCTCCCAACAAGAGTACAGCAAGGAAATCAAGAAAGCAAAGTACAAAAGCTGGAAACACTTCTGTGAAAGCATTGAGAGTGCCCCAGAAGCATCCAGGCTTCACAGAATTCTCAGCTTAGATCACCGTCCTCAACTGGGCTGTCTGAAGCTTCCAACGAAGAATGTTGCTGAGGAGGCGTCGGACACATTAAAACATTTAATGGAAGTCCACTTCTCAGGTTTTGACGATAACATGCAACCTCGCCGGCCGAAACCTAGGGTATACAGGGTGTTTCAGAACTATGGGATCAAACTTCTAGGGGTTATTCAGTGCAACAGTAGAAAACATTTGAGTATAGGGACCCATGTCCGGAAAAATGTCACTACCGCACTACGGCCCTAAGACGCGTTAAAATTTAGAAAGACGATGAATTGCCT